CCTTCAATTTGATTGCGGGAGCTTGTGCCGTGGAACTTTGATACCGGTGTAACTCACACATCCTTTTGAAATTCACAAAACTTCGCCGCTGTACATTGCTTTAAAAAAATGCTGTATACGATAATAGAAACTCCACGTCCACAAGCGCAACGGAACGTCCTAGAGCATAACGCAGTGTCTAATTTAAAGGAGATCTCGCCCTTTTTCAACATTGCCTTGTTTTAAAGGCGCGCAAATTTTAGTCGTATTTTAATACACTGGTTCTTTCGAATTAACAAAGGACCTACTATCAACTACTATCTTAATCAGAGCCCTTTTTTAAAACACAGATGTCTCTTTTACACGAATATAGAGCTTTTTAAAGATAAGAACACTTATGTATATATACAAATAGAAAAACACCTGTTTCATTATCATTTTACAATGTTTTACCAATTTAAATAAAATCAATAATTTGGCTTATCGAATAATAGGCTTAAATTCACTTTAAATACAAAGACGAACCATCCATATCGTAATTAACCTTTTTGATTAAAACTCAAATAATTTCGCGTGGAAACATTGCCGGAGGACACCGACGAAAATTTTGGTTTGTCGAGGTACACTGTCGTATCGTGATCGGACGGTCGGACAAGTGTAAATTATGCATAATGCGACGTACTCTGGTGATCCAAAACCGAATACCCTCCCGCTATCTTTCCTGGACGCGTCCTTACTTTTTTTAAACCGCCCACAAAATGGTGCTAATAGGCTAAAGGCGTATAAGCGCTAAACAGTCTGTAAGTCGGCACTATTGCTAATTTTTAAGACGATTAAATTACCAAAATTGTGTATTTCTGTCTACTGAATCTAAATGTGTGATTAAAAAAACAAAACAGCTTCGCATTTTTCGGATAATAGCAAAAATGCGCCCTTTTATATAGAGCAACTTGTATATTATTACATGACAGCCTATTAAATCATCTACAACTATTTTTGATGCTTCATAGTTTGGCTATGATGCAAGTATTTTGAATATTTCAAATAACCAGGATTTTAAAATTATTTTTTTCTATTTCGATTTTTAAATGTTCTTATTAACGCACTGTTTTCCGCTCAAAACAGTGCGTTAATGAGACCTATTAACGCACCGTTTTTAAGTTGGTATTAAAGAGGAAAACCTAAATTCACTACCCTATTTGACATTCGATTGTATTTATTTAGAAATTAGGGTTATGTCTTGATATACAGAAAGACAAGATTCCTTTCTATTTGATTAAAAGCGAGACATGTAAGGCTGATAAAGTGTTAATCAAATTACAAGAAGAACAATATGAAAAACCACTTAATTACTTTCTCCCAAAACTCAAAAGGGAATTAAATATTACGGTATGTAGCGTAAAAACCGAGATATCAACAATGTGGGGCTTTGAGGTAAATTTTTACATTAATGATTAATGCTTCTTTTTGTAGCACGTTCAACATCTACGTACAATTTGTGACCAATGATTACTAGTACGAATAGTGTACCTATCTTCCAAAAAAGACCTACAGGTTATAAAGGAGATTTCGAATGGGGAAAAGATGACAACGAGGATACCTTCGGAACACATTAAACAATATTTTAAAGAAGAAGCTTATTGCTTTTAGCACTTGTTCTGCGTTATTAATATCGTGAGCCTGATTTGTGTAGTATCGTTAGGCTCCTAAGAGGAAGTGACAATCCGAAGCCGAACCCGTCCTAATGAGTGACACCTCATCACGTAACAACAACTCACTAAGGACCGATCCGTTACTGACCGTTAATGGCAAATCGCGAAAAGAAACCTTTGTTCTTCTTTTTATGTCAGTCACCAATATAAGTAGGAGCAATGTCATATGGGCGAAATCTGTTAGCTGTTAGCTTTGTCGTTAATCGACAGTGACACGACTGAATTTCACATAACTTATATAAAAGGACGAAGGACTGTATTTTGCCTTTATGAATTGTTCCACAGTTAATGTACTAATTTCTGAAGTTTATTAATTAAAACAAAATTGATGAGACTGCATTTAAATAAGAGAAATATTTGGGACGTCGTACTGCCAACTTAATACAACCTGCACTAATACAACTTCTATATCAAAATTCCCTAGTTACAAAAAGTTACTATAACATCATTTTGATAAAAATTTCTAGAAAATATCTTCTCAATAGAAAAAATAGTATAAGAAACTTGTTTCATAAGACGCCCCATCGCACTCGTTCATTAGAAAACTCGCCGCAAGCAGCTCGTTTTCTAAACTTGAACTCATGCGTTAAATGCGCCACTTATGAAACTTGTTTCTTAATATACTATAATGTCGTTCTACATGAAAATGGTAAAAATACGTAATAGGTATTTAAACCTATAACTGGAACAAGGACTTATTATAGTAGGCTGTTAAGAAAACAAGAATAACAGGTGAAATAAGTAATAAATAAAAAAATAAATATATAAAAATACTTTATATAATAAGTTCCAATAGATATCTACCTACCTATATTAATGGAAGGTGTTCAAAAACGTTTCCATTTTCTTCAGTATACGGCGGATCCTGGGGCAGATAAAACCATATTTTCTAGGACATAAACATAAACAGCACTGTGTAATAACGTTCAAAGTTAGCTGTCAGAGACTTTACAACCAACAACGCCATTTTATCATTTTTATGGATAACTAGATCAAAATTTAAATAATCGAAAAACCTAGCGAAAAACTTTCGTTATTTGCAGTAGTCCGGTTATGGTGCATTAAGACCTCTTGTAGATCATTTTATAAACTGCCATATGATGCAATACAGGGCGTTCCACATAAAAACATCGTATTTTTGTTACCTGAAAAATATGATGTTCTTTTGTTTTTTTAATGACTAGAATTAGTAGACAATACTGCCCCATTTTGGTTTTTATATCAAAACCCACCAGATTTTAAGATCGCTTAGTTTTCGTTCCTCACGATGCGCCATGAGTAATCCTGATTTAGCTGTTTCGGTCACGTAAAAGACATTAAGATTGTGTTATCGCCCGTTAGACTGGCACCGATTACCTTTCTCAGGAAATTAACCGGTCGCATCCAAAAACCAATGACCCACAAAATATAGATGGAAAATTTTATTAAGGTTTGGTTTTAAAGTTTACAAATAATATAATTTGTCTCTCTAGGAAACACCCAGTATATCTCTTAACAGCTACAACTGTAGTACCCTAACGAAATTAAAAAAAAAACATTCAAGGGCTCCCGTTACACAGCATACGTTTCAGAGGATGATAACGGACTCCATAATTTTATCAGGAAAGGTTCTGTATAGTATAACAATTACTTACGTAATAATGGAACAGTAAGGATAAAGAATGGACAGATAATCAAAAGGTGTCCTTCACGTGACCTTTATCTGATGGCTAAGTATGTTAAACATTTCGAAAAGCTTGTGTCAGGTGCTTATAAGAAGCACAGCCGTCTATAATTACAAGCCATGCTGAGAAGTTTGGCAACGTTGTTAGAAAGCCAATCGGTGGGCCGATGTAAGTTTTAATGGCGTCTTGTTGCCCTTGAAAAATGGCATTTTCCTCTCTCCTGTGTTTCGCCTTGGCGGTTTTAATATAGAAGAAAGATACTTAGGCAGCTTACAATTGTGCATATATATTATTTATTTACAAAAATGGATAACATTTTTATTTGACTTTAAAATTCGGAACGCTGTAAATTGGTAACTGCATCATAATGGGTTTTCTATCGAGATCTCCGAAATTGGTGAACTTGTCGAAAGAGGTCGCGGTGAAGCACACGCTTGGGCACTTAATTTCGGTAAAAGGACAGTAAATCGCTGCGCATCAGCGAGGTTATATCAACGACCAGGTGTGGTTCGGAATGGCAGACTTTAAGCCAGTCGCTACTCCAGTGGGTCTAGGTGCGAAGCTTTTAAAGAGGGGAGCCCCGTAGACTTCAAATTCCCGTACCATGAACTCTTGGGAATAAGTTGAAAGGTTCCTTCAGAAAATCGATTTGACATCTCCGTGCTAGAATACCTGAAATACAAACTAATGGTATTTTTTTCACGATAAACACTTACCGTACTTACGTACCAGCTTAGTGTAAAGTTACACTATGGTACCAGGTACTGTGTAGGTCATATTTGAGCTTCTTACAGGTACTTTGAACAAATAAAAGTGCTTGTAAAAGGTCCAGTAAGGAGTAGCCTGCTTTAGAGGTTATGACAACAAATCGATATATTTAGTTTAGCAACTTAAGTGCGATTTACATTATATCACTTTTGATGTACATCCAAAGTGAATCACTCAGAGTGAAATCATCCAGGATGATCATCCTCGTTTACATATTTTCATCCAGTTTGCTGGTTTCACAGTGTCAGTGAAAAGTGAAAGGCTAGTGTAGGGGCGATGTCTCGTGCTCGTTCAAGAAGGAATCAAAAAAAATTACGCAGAGGCATTGCGTTAATTTCACATGGACTGCTACATGAAGTTAACGCAATGTTATCGACACGTAAACGTGCTCAAAGACGTTGGTGGGTGAAGCCATGGGTTTCAAGGAGAACAAAGCTTCGTCAACCCTGTTAAGAGAATGGGCAGAGGAAAATCCTGAGGTGTATAGAAATCACTTAAGAATGACCGAGGAGCAATTCGCATATCTTCTAGACAAAGTAACTCCGTTTATAAGCAAAAAAGATACTTGGTTCCGAGAAGCTTTAAGCCCTAAAATAAAACTACAAATGACACTACGATATCTAGCGACTGGAGATAATATAGGTACCTTAAGTGCACTGTACAGAATTCCAAGAAGCACATTTTCACGGTTTTTACCTGAGGTATGCAAGGCTATATACAACGCTTTGGCAGATTTTATAATGGTAAGTAGAAATTTAACATCTTGTAGTTTAATTAATTCATAGGTTAACAGAATAAAAAGTTTATAGTATAAAAAGTTTAAAATAGTTAAGTTATTTTGAAAATATTTTTTATTTCTATAAAATAACGTAATTTATTATAAAGGCATTAATTCATCACCAACTATTAATCCCGCTGAAGAAAGGGCATCGGACAAAACATCACTGGTATATTGAGTGCTTTCATAATCGTCATCTTTTTCGGTAGATTGGTAGTAATGGTTTTGTGACTGCCGTGAATGTGTGCTGCTTTGCCCTGATGACATCGCAGAGTACCGGCCTGAAGTTGGTATGGACTGTTGATAATCAGCAGGTGACATGGATGAGTGAGACTGAGGGTTTGATGTGAGTTGGAAGGGTCGTTCTTGCGTCATCACTTTCTGTAGATGTTCTTGACAGATAAGAGCCCTATTTAAAGGCATTTTTTTCAACTGTATAGCAAGGCTCTCACAAAACACGTCGAATTCGTTCAGATCCTCCTTATTTTCTTCCGATAGTGTCTTCAATTGTTTTATTGCGTCCTGAACCCCCGAAATAGTAGTATTGAGGGAACGTTTACGCCCCTTTGTGTTTTTTGGAGTATTCGTGATTACCGCCGAAGACGTTGCAATCGTATTTGGAGATGTTGCCTCAGTGTCCTGAATGTGTGCTGTTTGCTCAGTTTGCTGTTCAGTGTCCTGAATGTGTGCCGTTTGCTCAGTTTGCTGTTCACGTTCTTCCAAATGTTGGCTATCATCGGTTGCTTTTCCAGAAATGCCCTTTCTCGTCGATTCTAACTCCTGAAACAAAGTACATGAAATTACATGAAATCAGTCATTCCAGAAAGCAATTGAAAGTTGATACAGATACAAAGCTCTAAAAATAGAATAATGTACACTGTCTAATAATTATTGCTTGATACAGGTCCCTAACACAGTTGAAAGCTGGGAAAATGTGATGCGAGACTACGAAACTTTGTGGAATTTCCCAAATGTGTGTGGGGCTATGGACGGTAAGCACGTTACCATCAGGTGTCCTCCAAACACTGGTTCACAGTATTTTAATTACAAGAAAGACTTCAGTACGATACTATTCGCAATTGTTGATGCCAATTATAATTTCATATACATCGATGTGGGAACCAATGGAAGAGTAAATGACGCTGCAGTATTTGCGAAATCAACTTTTAATGAGGCCTTGCAAAATAATTCACTGAAAATACCGGAACAAGGAATTTTCGTCGCTGACGATGCCTTCCCATTGAGAACCAATATTTTAAAACCATATTCCAGATGTGGTCCGCTAACGGAAAAACAAAAAATATTCAATTACAGACTTTCAAGAGCTCGTCGCGTTGTGGAAAACACATTCGGCATACTTGTGTCGAAATTTAGAATCTTTGAGAAACCTATTCCACTATCCATACAAACAACGGAACAAGTGGTGAAGACTACATGCGCTCTTCACAACTGGTTGCGAAAGACTTCAACTCCCATACACCCATACATCCCGAGAGATATGCTGGATGTTGAAAACTGGGAAGAAGGAAGGGTTCAACCAGGTACCGCTACCCAACATCCACATAGTGGTCTTGAGGAAATATCCCACGGTGCATTAAATAACTACAGCAGGGCAGCAAGAGACGTACGAAATTATTATGCTGAACGTTTTGTTACAACAGACATTGTACCATGGCAATTGAAAATGATTTAGTAATCAACAAATTAAAAAAAAAATAAATAAATATCTTGTTTTTGGCTTTGAAATTGATATTTCATTTGGTTTGTGAATTATTATTAGCAAAAATTAATCATACATCATTTTGTGAAAAAGAAATAATTACGTAAGTATATGTATGTACCTATTTCTATTTGAGAGTACTCACCTTCAAGTTTGATGAACTTTCTTTTGGAGTGCATATGCTGCGGAGAAACACGTCTGCAAGTTTAAACCAGAATAGTCTGGGCTCATAAACGTCATCAGCACTAGCTCCACTTCTTTCTGAATTTTTTATCTTGCAAAGTTCTGCCCCATAACGTGTTCTAATAGTTTTTATTTTTGCCTTGATGTCGGGTACAGTTAATCCAGGCAAATTTAAATCGGCCAGCATTGATAAGTACGCTTTTTCCCGTACGTTTGATTTGCTGTAATCACTGCATTTATTATTCCACAAGCACTCATACCGCTGATAACTTTCTAGAAATAGTTCCATGTGTTTATCTTGCCACCTGAATGACATTGCCACGACAATAGGTATGCACAAAACTCCTACAATAATTTAAATCAAGTAAAACTACCTACTTAAAACTACGCGAATACCAAAACCCAAAACAATCAACTAGTGTTTGTGAAGTGAACGTGCGTCGACAGTTTACATTTGTCACTGGGCATTCACTCTCGATGAATCATCGCTTCGATGAACGACTCTTTCATCAAAAGTTGGTCGGGGGTCGATATCTTTCATCCTTCATCTTTAGTGTACACTTTGGATGAAATCACAATGAAAGGCAATTTATACTTGTCATTTTGGATGATTCCTCCAAGATGATCATCAAAAGTGACAAATGTAATTGGGCCTTTACCTGAATAATAATTTCTGTTCATTCCGTAGGGAGTAACACAAATTGTCGCAATTTCGCTCTGTTAAAACAGGTAAATTGGCATATTACACCCAAAACACATATAAAATACACTCAACATCTGTCAAGTTGAATTAGGAAATCGGCCTACCATGCAGTGTTGCCATAATTCTCAGCACGGCTTGTAATGGGGTCATCCCGCCTTCATTTTTTATTTCTGATCCACAAAGTACATTAAAAATAAAAAGACCCGTGTGTCCTCAATTTTTATTTCCGAGTAAAATAAACCCAAAATAAATTATTGAAAAGCTGTGTTTTTAGTCCGAATTTGAAACGCTTCAGACTAAATACGTCACAAACCTACAACCAATCACGTAGAAGTGAGCCGGCAACCTTGTGCGAGGGTCTGACGTTTGTCAAATTTGACGTTTTAAGAGGCATGTTTAACTGCATCTCACAGCCGTCTATAATTACAAGCCATGCTGAGAAGTTTGGCAACGTTGTTCGAAAGTCAATCGGTGGGCCGATTAAGTTTTAATGGCGTCTTGTTCTCTTGAAAAATGGCATTTTTCCTCTCTCCTGTGTTTCGCCTTGGTGGTTTTAATACAGAAGAAAGATACTTAGGCAGCTTATAATTGTACATATATTTTATTTATTTACAAAAATGGATAATAACATTTTTATTTGACTTTAAAATTCGGAACGCTGTAAATTTGGTAACTGCATCATAATGTGTTTTCCATCGAGATCTCCGAAAATGGTGAACTTCTCTCGAAAGAGGTGAAGCACACGCTTGAGCACTTAATTTCGGCAAAAGGACAGTAAATCGCTGTGCATCAGCGAGGTTTTATCAACGACCAGGTGCGATTCGGAATGGCAAATTTTAACCGAGTCGCTACTCCAGTGGGTCTAGGTACGAAGCTTTTAAAGAGGGGAGCCCCGTAGACTTCAAATTCCCGTACCGTGAACTCCTGGGAATAAGTCGAAAGGTTCCTTCAGAAAATCGACTTGACATGTCCGTGCTAGAATACCTGAAATACAAACTAATTGTATTTTTTCACGATAAACACTTACCGTACTTACGTACCACGTAGTGTGTAGGTCATATTTGAGCTTGTACATATACTTTGAACAAATACAAGTGCTTGTAAAGGGTCCAATAATGAGTAGCCTGCTTTAAAGGTTATGACAACAAATCGATATATTTCGTTTAGCAACTTACCTGAATAATAATTTCTGTTCATTCCATACGGGGTAACACAAATTGTTACAATCTCGCTCTGTTAAAACAGGGAAATAGGAATATTACACCCAAAACACTTATAAAATACACCTGAAACTGCCAAGTTGAATTAGGAAATCGGCCTACCATGCAGTGTTGCCATAATTCTCAGCACGGCTTGTAATTATAGACGGCTGTGACTGCATCTAGCACGAAAGTGACAAGCGCCTGTGACAGATGACGCAAGTTATAAATGCCATTCTCCTGCAATATTGCCAAGTCGTTATGTCATCTGAATGGTTCTAGGAGCTGATTGGTCGGGCTTATTACGTCACGAGCCCGCCACATTCATATCGTTTTGAATAAACCTTTAAAACCGTTCATGTTCATTATTTTTTTGCTAATCAGCCTCTATTTTTAAATAAACTTTTACTGTCCAAAAAAATGTTTTATGGTTTCAGGTACACGCTTACTATTAAATTAGAACTACGGAATTCAACTAGATATACTGTAAACACCTATTGTACTAAAAGGGTAAAGATAGTACACGCGTAACTAGGATATGGTTATAGCATGCGATATTTTCATTCGAAATATATCACGTTCGAATTTTATCGGGTGTACTCGAGCATACGATCCCAGGTACCTATGTTTCTAGAATTGCCGTCGAACATGATAAGATAATCCTTCGCTAACGATCTTTTTTAAATTGTATTATACCTACAGTATATTCCAATAGTGTGTCTACCTAATGAAATTTCAGTCAGCAACTTCCCAAGCCAACACCTCCAATCAAAACATCAATTTCCTGTCTTCCTTACCAAAGCGATTTGCACCAACATATTTTGATTGCGCACCCAATTTGTGTTGTGTGTTGTAGAAACTTACTGCAAATTGTGTCATTTCTAGGGCTCATACTGGCACCTTAAACGTAAGTGACCCTGCAATAGTTTAGCGTACGTTTTGGATGCTTCCATTCCTTTACTCCATTTCCCATCCTCCGTTTTACAAAATCAGCGACACATTTTTTAACTTTTCAGTAGCAAAACTCCCAATCCACTAAGAATATTAAATGGTTGCAGCAAGGATGTCAGTAAAAATGGAAATGTAACGTTGTAAAGACATGGTAAAAGCTTAAAGAAGATTTACGCTGTTGTGCGACCTCGTTAATACACTCGATATTTACACTGTTGAAGCTGTTATCACATAAATGACGAGATCAGGGTCCCTTGAGGTCACACTCACAGCCGAATAAGTGTGTTGCTTTCTCAAGTTTTTCAAATTTGTTTAGATATTCCGCACGAAACCATGTGGATTAGCGCCAGATTTAGTTTTTGCACGATCCTAAAATAAAGGATTAATTAAATAAGTGCAATTTTCAACCTGGATTTTATCAACGAAGTGAGTCAACCAAAAATTGTTGGCGAGATAAGTGCAATTAATCCGACTTTTTTTGGTTCAAAATCAAAATTAGACCTAAATATCTAGCGCCAAAGTTTGCACTTTATAGGACTATAGCAGAAACATTCCAAGCCATACAAAATATTGATCCATCCAGGATGAATCTCTATCTGCTACCCCAGGTGATAAGTAGAGTAAGAACAATGAAGACGTTATTAATATTATCTTTGTCGAACAGTTCCTTTCGTCTATTACAGTATTATCGTTTTGTTTCCTGATTGGCATGCAATTCGGATTTTTGACCATTTTGATTCCTTACTTTTCTAAAAATAACAACACGCAAGTTGAGGAATCGTTCACTATGTCTGACAATGAATTATCGTGGTTGTGTAAGTATCGATTTACAGCTGATACGGGGTGGTCTTAAGTGCATCTTCAATTTTTAGTAAGCGGCTTTACACTTGTAAAGCCGATCAGCAGCGTTCTTGCAGGATTAGTTATGGACCACTTCGGGAGATTGAACACACTGAGACTTGGAATATTGCCATGGTCTATTGGATGGATATTAATCGCAAATGCGTCAAACTTCCCAATGCTGATGACAGGATTCCTAACTGCCTTCGTTCCATGCTGTAATGATCAATTTCACTTTACCTTTTTCACCTGGACATTTTAGCGTGGTTTGTGATCACTTCGCTCGCGTATGTTAGCGAAATTAGTTCTCCTAATATGAGAGGTGTACTGCTTAATTTTAAATCGATCTTCTGGGGATTAGGTAAGCTCATCCTTTTGGAAATAACATAATATTTGTCCCAGGAAGCATAGTGCCTTTTCTACTTGGCGCTTTTCTACATTGGCGAATGTTGGCTTGGGTTAACTGCATATTATTCCTTATTCCTGGAATTGCCACCCTTTTCCTTAAGGAAAGTATGATGTGGCTAGTAACTAAGGGACGCATTGATGACGCAAAAGAGTCGCTGATATACTTTAACCGATATCGAAAAACGGATGAAAACGTATGTAAGTTTTTGTACCTCAACCACATCACGTTTCGTTTTTAGTTAGAAAGTGATATTGAACGCAAGCTACTCTCGATCCAAGCACTCCACGAACGATATCATTCAGCTAACCAAAGTATACTTAAAAAAATGAGGTTCTTCCTTCAACCCTCCGGCTATAAGAGAATACTCATGATTGCGGGTTTGCAGTGTTTTAATGAAGCTACAGGATCAAACGTACTGCTTAATAATATCATTGTTTTCTTTACCGTAGGGAGGTTATATTTAAAAATAGTGAAATTGTACGTATTCTTTTAGGAATTCGGAACGACAGTAAATCCATACGCAATTGGAATTTACATAGGAATAACTAAGTTAGCTACGTCGTTATTCACTGGCTGGTTACTGAAAACTTGTAAATTTAAATCGATCTTGATCGCAAACTATTTAACTATCTGTGGGTGTATACTAGCTTTTGGACTATACCTTGACTACAACACTAAAGGTTTGCTTCATGTTTGAAAAGGTCGGAGCAAGTTTTTTTTAATTTTTAGGTACCACCATTTACCAATGGATTCCATTGTGCACAATGGTATTGTACACTTTTTCACTATCATCGGGTGTATATTCTGTACCAGTTGTCATTACGCCATTAATTTTCCCTACGCACCTACGTGGAACTGGTCAGTCGGTCGCGACGCTTTTCCAAAGTCTTATGGAGTTTTCGGCAACACAAACTTATTATCTCGTAAAAAAATTAGTTCAACATTCTCATATCCTGTACGTCATGGCACTTTCTTCGGTAATAGGATGCGCGTACATTTACAAATGTGTTGTGGAGACACATAAAAAGTCGTTTTCTGAAATTGAAGATTATTTTAGCAAAAAAGTTAATTGCAGCAAGAACAATTCGCCATCTGGAGAGGAATTAAAGTCGTTCAATGAAAAATAAACCAATACGTATCATGTTGTAACTTAATTACCTGCACTTTATCTCCACTTATAATCTGAAAATTAAAATCTGATGCTGTAGCTTGATCACTCCCAAAAAAATGCTCTGGACTTGTTTGAATATATTATTGAAAATAATCTCGTTCCAACTCAAGTTCACATTTTTTTGTGATTTAAAATGTAACTAAGCACCTAGTTTCCGTCTTGAAGTGACCAGTTTTAGTGATCACTCGGTAGATGAACACCCGGTACATACAAGCGCTTCGTTACGAAAAGTGTCGTGCGGTTTGTGTTGGTTCAAATAAGTTGTGCCCGTATACAGAAGCTGTAATTAATTCTAGGTTTGCAACCGTTTCCGTCAAGATATTTGCAGTGTTCCAAAAGCTCTTGTGATTTAGAAGACGAGGCGAATTAATATTTTAAAATTTCAGCACGTCAAGTAATTATTTTGATTCCGTTCAGTTTAGGTGTTTATTAGCTTGATATCGCCGACCCCTTCACATTCCAATTAACCAAAGGTGTTAGTTGGATTAGCAAATTTTGGAATCTAATGTCGACAAATTAAGGAATAATTAGCGGTAAGTGATATAATGAGATGCAGTTAACAGCATCCGATTAAGTCGTGAGGGGTCTCTAAAGAAGCGCTCTTAATTAATTTAAATGTTAAGATCAACTTGTAGGACCTCCGCAGGCTGCACAATTGATTAAAGAAGTTTTTATTTTGGATGTAGACCGAATACGTTGTGTCGACTGGAAAATCAGTTGATCCCTCTGTGAAATAGCCGAATTATATAAAAGTTTAAGCGTTGTTTAAAGGGGATTTTTTGCCTTTTTGCATCTTCGCATGTTACGTTCCGTAAGTACCGTTATTAGGATTCATACCGTTTAATTTTTGCTTTTAGATTAAGTTTACCGCAACGTATCTACAGCTTTTGGCTTTTTCTTGCACAGTAACTTCTATCGCTACGTTTTATTGCAAAGTAAACTGTTTGCTCGGCGGTTCCATTAAATATTGGAGGGGAGGGGATATTGTTTATCTTTCCTGCATTTACTTTACCGTACACACCGCTAATTAATTCATTCATTTCTACTAGTTTTAGTTTTCCGAAGTGTTTCCGCCATTTGCTGGACTCGTTCGATTTCTACAATTGCCGTTTACTCCGCAAACTGCTGCTACCGCCGACCTTGACCATGGACAAGGTCGTAACCCTTGCCCGCGTCCTTCCATCCGTCTGCACGCCCGTCCGTTCCGCCGACAGCACACTACGTTGCCACCGACTGCCACTGCTTTCGTCCGCTCACAAACTTTGCTTACTATAATTTATAAATTTCTTTATTTTTCTTGTAAATTAAATTATAGTCACTATTCCGCGAAAGCTTATTTTATTTTTCATGCCATTTGTGCGCGGAGTTACTACCGAAGTTCATGTAACTAATACAAAATAAGGTTTAAATTCCTATATCGTGATCACATTTCCCATTTAATTACCTAGATTTTTTAATATTCGTGATTAATGCCTGGTACCAAATTCTATTCAACGTAAATTTACACGTATCTGGATGCTAAATAAAATTTAACCCACACAAATGAATGGTATTTGTTAACTTATTCAACTTCATAACTAATGAGGTAAAAGAATTTACCAATATCTTGCGTTTGGGTTCACTTATCATTCATTAAAAAAAATACAAAGTCATTCACGGGAATTCCCGTGGGTCGACCTCTTCGGGAATGTTAGAATGACTATAAACATACATCTTTTATACAAAATCCGTCAACAAAATTAACCTCTTATGGTTATACAAAATAACTTGCATTTATCGATGAGACTGAATGGATAAAGTACCCACGACAATAAATTCGTGGAAAATTTTTAATTTAAAATTATTAGAATTCCTCGCATCAGCTAAGGAAAACAACGCATCCGGTGTAAAATTGTCAGTAGAATCGAAAAATGTAAAAATAGACAGGGTGTACCATTTCAATTTTGAAATATATAGCGACTTCCCGTTAAACCCGAAATGACAAAAATTAAGTTTTCAATAATATCAACCCCTCCCCCAAATATATTATATATTCTGAAACACAAACTAACGATTATGCCGCAAACGAAGTCAATCCGTTGTGGGAAAAACGGGAAAACTAGTAAATGGGTCTTCAAGAATAAAGGTGACGGTCCATATAAAGCAAGATTCATCATAAAAGGATGTGCACAACGTTGTGGAATTAATTACACCGACACATCCCTGTGATAAATGGTGCTTTATTACGAATAATTCAAGCTTTCTCTGCAAGTGACAACATAAACATTGTACAATTTGACATAAATGCTGCTCTTTTGCATCTGAAATCGCCGAAAAGGGGTTTTAAACAATTAACTACGGACAAACGAGAGATGATTTATTTATAGCATTATATTATGTGGATGGACTAATCGTGGGTCAAAATTTAAACGAAATAAAGGAACACGGTTTTGGTTTTTCCAGGAACGGGGTTGAGATATATCGTTTACAGCATACTGTAATTTTAACGAGTTATTTTTCATTTCCGTATACCCATACCGTCGATCTCGCAAAAATTACCAATGTACGTACATACAAACGGAAATAAATGTATTCTTTAAAGGTTGCTTAAAATGATCCAAAACGGTGACATTCGATCAAATTTGACATGTCCAAAAAACGTAGTTAAAAAACGAGTTAAAGGAAGTTTAGTGACTCATAAGGGCTGTTTTAGAAATTTTTTTATAATACAGTTTTCTGGTTGCAATTTAATAAAGAACAAAAGAAATTGCCAACAAATTATTTGCAGGGGAATACCGATGCAGAATGACACTCAATAGTGGGGCTGTGTAGGGTCCGTTGCAAGGATAAACAGCAAACTTGAAGATCAGTTTGTTTCTGGTTTGAGTAGTCAACCGGCGATACAAAAGGTTCAATTGTATTGCACAAGGCGTTTTACCATCCAATTTTCCGCATTGCTGCTACCTTTCAAAAGAAGAAAATCGATTGTAAATTGGAAAACAATTTGACGCATCGATTAACGTGAGTTATTTGAAGTTTGCATTGTGTATAAATTTAGGAGTCGTTGGTTTTTGGGGATTTTGTGTTAAAGCATTTATGCTCAAAGTCAATTTAAGATTTCTGAAGAGGTCGACCCACGGAAGTTTATTTTTTCGATCGAATAAATTTCGGGATATACACGGAGAAAGTTTGGAAATGTTTCAGTGATGAACTAAATGATAAAGTATGCTATACACAATAACTGATTATACGTCATGTCATCTTAACTTTCCCAAATACCGAACCTTTATCACCGATACGGGTTAAACCCTGTCATGCGACCCCGCAGTATACAATCGATATTTTAGATAATGCAGAAGTGAAACTGTTATCTCCAAAACAACAAGATCAGAGTCCCTTGAAGTCATAAATAAACCAGTACTTAAACTCTATTAGTACATATAACCCAAAAATAGTTAGTGAATTTTATAATGAAAGTATTTTTACGGGTTGTTGAAGGAACTTAGGTAAGCCAATTGAAATTTCCCTTTTTTTGTTATATACGTTCTAAATTACAGATAAACAAACTGAATGTATCTAGTAGGTACGAATTTTCCATCCCGAACTGTTACGAAATCGGAAATATTGAATCTTCCAGGATGAACCTTTATTTGCTACCACAGGTAACAATAAACACAGAATAAGAATATTAATAAAGTATATCTTTTTCAAATAGTTTGTTTCGTCTAGTATAGTTGGGACGTTTTGTTTCCTAATTGGCATACAGCTCGGCTATTTATCCATTTTAATCCCTTATTTTATTAAGAATGACAACATGCCGGTTCAGGAATCTTTCACTTTGTCCGACAATGAAGTATCGTGGTTGTGTAAGTACCTATCGACTTTAGTAATGTGCAATACTTGAGTGTTCTTAAATGAGCTACCTAGCAAAAATAATTCTAGAGCAGAAAATAAAACAATTGAACGCACTTAGTTCAGGAGTTCCAACGCCCTACAATGCCATTCTTCAGGTTTATAACGGGTAGATTTCTTGTAGATGCGTCACAATACCCCTCCCCCCCTTTCTTATCTTCGATGTAGCCAATCTTGAACAGCAAGAAGCTTGTTCACATCTTCTGCGTCTTCCTTTCCAAACATCTCAGGTATTTCACTTCTCCCTGAGAGAAGTTTCATTTCTTCACACCAAATCTTCATCCTAAAGTAGGCCGAACACGTTTTCCACGGCAAACATCTTCATTCCATCCGCCTTCCGATAATTTCAGGAATCTTACATAAAACTTTACGCAGCAAATAATTTAAAAACCGTTAAAAAATGGGCGCGAACGGAAGAAAATTAAGTAATCTACTGGTTAGACCAATTTTATCGATGCTATTTCATAGTTTCTTCCACTAGAGGTTACCTGAATGTACCTTTCTGTACAGTGACCGTATAAAGACGACCATAATGTTCCATTTCGGCCATGTTTTTTCCAATTTATCATTGAGCTCATTTGTTTAACCGAATTAGTAGATTTTGCTATCGTTACAATAATGCTGTCACAATTGTGTTCAGCAAGATGGTTTCCTGGTAAATTTCTACTAATTCGGTGTATTTCGTCAATACATGGCGAATCGCCCAACTACCGATAGAGAATAACACCACCATAGACCACACTGTATCTATAGAGTCACCGTACCTTTCTGTATTTTTCCCCCTCGCTTCATGTTCATTAATTTTCGACGTACGCGTTGCTGTTACTTGAAGGTTCTCTGACAGTGGATGCGTTCCTTGATAATCTCCAGGAACTGCTTAATTGGAACGTTTTAAGAAACGTGGGCCATATCTGTAGCAGTGCCGCTACCTTGCCTCTGCACTCTCTCGGGCTTTTTTGTGATAGTGTGTAGTAACTCATACTTACAGTTCTTTGTGTTTACGCCTAATATATGACGAAAAAGCAGAAACTGCTCCGCCAAAGGTTTTCTTCTCATTTGTCATAACTTTTCGTATCATCCACTATAAAAGAGGTCTGCTCTTGAACAATTTGTCGCGCAAAAATACCATTCTGTTCGTGAGGAAAATTCACTGGTTCCTTTGTTTTGTGTTTTTATCTGATTGCAGATTATTGGTAGAAAGCGCCCTTCTGAATTCAGACGGTCGTGATCAGTGTTTAAAGATAATATTTTAAATTCGTCGAAACTCCGTGAAATTAACGTATGTGTATAAAGGCCTTCAATACAGCCGAATAATTATAATTAATATATTTTTTATTATACCTGAATCACAATCTCCGTTTTAAACACTCAAATGCGTGCGAAAAAAGGCCTTTAAAACACACGTGCTTTAAAGTTGCTAAGTAACGATACTTCAAGTATGACTTTTGAAACTGTCATCTGGGGCTGAAATAAAAGATCCTCTTAGGTCGCTGTCTGTAAATGCAGAACATTTCTTTGGCTTGTACCTATCCTTTGGTTGAAGGTTTCACAAACGCGCAAATTTAGGGTATGCTTCCAAATCTGTTCCACTTTTAATCGCAGCATTGTTTGAAGTTTTGAGTTAATGCACCAAAAGATAGGAGATTTAAATACCTTTGGCATTTCATTCATATATCCCAGCATTATCGATGCATTTAAGACTTTATTCGTAAGTAACTTCCTTTTCATCCATGGAAACAACTTTTCATATTCTTTATAATAGGCTTTACTGGATTTGGATTTTACACCTACCAACGTTTGTTTAGATTTTACAACAAGCGATTTAATGGACGGTGTATTATCTTTTTCAACGGAAATCGTTTAATTCACAAAGACGATGATTTTTATAAGCAAACGTCAAGTGACATTTCCATGGCAATCGTGAAATTACGAACACCCAGCCCACTTAATTAGACATGTATTCGAGTATAACGTCAATATGATTTCATTGTATTTCCTATTTTTAAATTATACTGCAGGTATAATAAAAAATACTATAAGATACACGTGTATAATTGGTCTTTAAAGCACTTGCAACGTTAAAGGCACTCCGCTTTGCGTCGTGCCCTTAAACTCGTTGCGCGTGCTTTAAAGACTTGATTATACACTTGTATCTTAATATACTATTTTATGTGATAGTCATCTAACGTATTTTAATTCCGTTATCCCTGCGCAAGGATGTTTCGATCATTAATTTCTGACTGTGAGTTGTTCCCTTTCGAATTAGATTTTGATTTTGAGTAAAACATATATTTGACCTTCTATTTGTAGCATTTGGAAACCATTTGCTAATTTAGATTAAGCGATCAATGATATAGTCAGGGATTCTTTAAGTACGGTACGCTCAGAAAAGGTAGACTCGTAGTTTATCTTATCTGAGATCTCTAGCCACAGCCTCACTGATCTTAGAAGGGCTGTTGCCATAATCTGCAATCAGATACAAACACAAAAACAAAAAGACAGGAATATTGACCGCGCGGCATAAAAGATGTGCGAGACCAAAATTAACGTTTGACACAAATCGGAGAACTCGAATACTAAAAATCGTGGATAACATTCTCCGAAAACATAATAATTCAAATGACATTAAAGATCAAAAGCAAAATACTCGTTGCCGATACAAAACGCCAATGTGCAAGAAAAAACGTAATGTAATTTCAAGGAAAAATTCACACAATCCAAAAGTAACTAAAGACCCCCGTTCAGCAAATGTAAGCTAAAGGTTTTGAAACCTAGTTACCCTAGCACGAATGAATAATTCTTCGGAACGACAAAAATTAATTTACAAAAAATCGGAAATGCGGTGTGGAAACAATTCAACAATTAACATAATCTCCAAACGGAAAATCTATCATACCGTAACAATAAATAAGTTTTACGGTATAATAATTTCTAGATACATTCACTGTATACGTCAAATTGTGGGTTCATGTATTATGTTAGCCACTCCGGTTTAATCATCGAAATCTGGAAATGGACTATGCGCGGATACTGCAGGTAAGAGAGAAGCAAGCTTTCTCCATCGCGTTTCTGTTTGTCCCATTCAAATTAACTTGAAAGAAGCAATCAGATCCGTAACGGTAATCGAGAGAGCTTACCGTTTAGTTTTCCCTTCTCTCTCACTTGCAGTATCCTCGCTTAGTATTAACACGCGCAGTCCATTTCTATATGTCGACAGGTTTAATATGAAAAACATTTGATTCACTTAGATATTTTATAAAGAGTGTTGATATCGATTGTGCTATTCGTAATATTCGCGTAAATAAGAAGGGAGTAACATGAAGAAACGACAGGTATGACGGAAATCGTCAAAGTAAAAATATAGCATCATTATGTGACAAGTCGACAACAGCAGCTCTATAGTTTCTCTAACAGCATCAGTTTTTCGCAAGCGAAAGAACAAAGATGGGAAAATCGATCAATATTATTGATGAACTTTGCGTGATCTCTAGTAGCATAATAATGAACTACGAGTGAAATATGAATATACAGAAAAAATATACCGATAGCGCAAGGAAAGTTTTAAATGAATGTTTAAATGGCGAAAATGTGGAATTCACCTGAAAGCAGAAAAAAAGACTGTAAATGATGAGTAACGGGGAAAGCAGCTACTAATTAGCGAAAACCCGGAGTCAATCTCTGACCTTTCCTATTACTTTTCCAATTACAAGAGTGGGCATAAATAGGCCTTACTGCACGACTGATGGCCCGTCCCTGCTTTATCGATCTATTTCCTTCAGTTTTTTTTTATTATCTAATCACGTTTGGAGTAGGAAGAAGGAACTTTGGACCAAGGTAGATTTCTTTTTTTTTAGTCGGTACCATCCTTGCTACCTCTATTAATTAAGAACACTCTGTATAAATAACGAGCTAAACATTTAAATTTCAGTAAGTATGGCTGCCCTTGTAAAACCGGTCAGCGGCCTCCTAGCGGGATTAGTCATGGATCACTTCGGAAGACTAAACACACTGAGACTTGGGATAATACCATGGTCGATTGGATGGATAATAATCGCAGAGGCGTCGAATTTCCCGATGCTGATGGCCGGATACATAATTTCACTTTTGCCACACTGTAATCATCCACTCCATCTTCCGGTTTTCTTTTTTACCTGGACATTTCAGCGTGGTTTGTGATCTCCCTACTTGCGTACATTAGCGAAATTAGTTCTCCTAGCGTAAGAAGTGTACTGCTTAACTTTAAGTCGGTCTTCTGGGGACTAGGTAAGTTCCCTATTTTTTAAGATGACATAATATCTGAGTTTAATTCCGCCAGGAAGTATGGCGCCTTTTCTGCTTGGCGCTCTTCTGCATTGGAGGACGGTAGCTTGGATTAACTGCTTGTTACCAGTTATACCTGGAGTTGCCACACTGTTTCTTAAAGAAAGTGTGTTGTGGCTTGTAACAAAAGGGCGCGTTAACGACGCAAAGAAATCACTTGCATACTTTAACAGATACCGAAAATTATCAAAAGATGAAGACGTAAGCCAGATTTTGTACATTTACAATTTAACCCTGATTTTCCAGTTAGAAGGTGTAATTGAACGTAAGCTACTTTCGGTCCAAACACTTCACGAGGAATATCGATCATCTAACCGGAGTCTACTTCATAAAATGAAATTTTTCTTTCAACCCTCGGGGTATATAAGAATATTTATGCTGGCGGGTTTAGAATGTTTCAACGAGGTTACAGGATCAAGTGTAGTGTTTGCTAACATCATAGTTTTCTTTACAGTAGGAAGGTTACGTTTTCAAAGAGTGAAATTATTTATTACCTTCCATTTTAGGAATTCGGTACCACAATAAATCCGTACGGAATTGGAATTTACATAGGGGTAACTAAGTTAGCTACGTCATTTTTCAATGCCTGGTTATTGAAAACCTTCAAATTTCGATCGATTTTGATGGCAAACTATGTAACAGTCTCTGGATGTTTGCTAGCTTGGGGACTATACCTTGAATACAACACAAAAGGTTTGCTGATTGTTTGGGAAAGTTACAGCAGGCAAGGTCTTTTACTTTTAGGTACCACAATTTATCAATGGATTCCGTTGTGCACAATGATATTGTACACTTTCTCACTATCAGCAGGTGTATATTCTGTACCAGTTGTCATTGCGCCGTTAATTTTCCCCACTCACGTACGTGGAACGGGCCAGGCGATCACAACGCTGATCCAAAGCCTTCTGGAATTTTCAGCAATACAATCCTATTATGCGATGAAAAAAATTGTGAAGCACTCTCATATCCTGTATTTTATGGCACTTTTTTCGCTATTAGCATGCGCATACATTTACAAATATGTTGTAGAAACTCATGAAAAATCGTTTTCTGAAATAGAAAACTATTTCAGTAAAAAAGACAATTGTAATAAACGAAATTCGCTGCCTGGGGAGGAATTAGAATCTTTCCATGAAAAATAAACCATTACGTCTTATATTGTTACTTATGAAAGAATTACTGCGCGCTTGGTGACTTTCGTCTACGAAAGTTATTTTAGACGCAGATTTAGGCCAGACCCTCGTTATTACTAATAAGCGTAACAACCCTTTTCTGTGTAAACCAGTTTTTTTTTACAAAAACGATTGTGAATTCAAAGTAATATATGGGACTAAAGCAATAAGGGTGAAAAGTGTACGTTTCTAGCACGCCTAATTGTTTTATGTTGTTCTAATAGAATGGATATTTAGCTTGTAAAGAAAGCACTCGGACGGTCAATTAAAAACTTATCATTGTACAGTAACGAAGTAACTTACTTAGTAAAAAGAGGTGCAATTTTCCGGAAATTAAAATTAACACTTACAACGCAAATTTGGAAATATTTTTCACTCTTGGTAAAAATTCGCTTCGGTAACAGAAATAGCGCCTATAAAATACTTTCGAAAGCAAAAACTCCTCTCATTTAAATAACTTTTTTGTAACTAAGTAGTCGCCGCGGAATTGATTTCCGAAACTTAAATAGTACGAGTGCACGAAGAGGTTGGAGTGGAATAGAATAGGTCTCTAAATCCTTACGTGAAGGTGCAAAACGGGAAACATTATATCTTCGTAACCAAAGCGAATGGACCATGAGCACAGTGCGAAATGGCCGTAGAGTTAATCGTACAGGAATTGCCAAAGAGTTAATTTTTCACGTGTTGCGCGAAGTACTTGTTTTTTCTATGTGTTAAAATGAATGTTCAATTTATCCAGAAAGATTGATTTAAATTGCTTTGAAGTTCCTACCTGTTAACCGCGAACGTACGTTAATGTTGTTTGAAGTTGTTATTTCCAATTCCATTTCTGTAAATGAACTTGATCTGTTTATTGCTGTAACTAAATGTAAAGATACCTACCAAGTATTTATTCCACACGCTAAACGTGCAGAATCAGTAACGTGATCGCGGATACAAAACTAGGATCACAGAATAATGCTTGCAGAAATTAATTTGGTTCTATTTGCTCTAGAGGGTATAAACTTGTTGGTATTACTGTAATTACTCTTGTGTATTTTAAAAGATATTTGTAGATTAAAATTAGAAATATGCCTGTTCACCGTTTTTAATACAGAGATGTATCTCAAGTCATATTGAATAATGTAACTATTTGTAATTTTTTAATTAGTTAACATTCAAGCTGAAATTACTTTTCGCACTAGTCCCAAAAATAGCTACCTTTTGTATAGTTACCATGGTCATACCGATTACTCCCGAAATAGGCCTTTTTACGTAGGTATCTACAAGTTTGACAAAATAGCGTCTTATTCAGGTGGTTAGAGTCAAGAAAATATTTCTTGAAATGTTCTTAATAAAGAAACAAACAAAGAAAATAATGTAATCATATACACAAATCACTTTAACTTTCTCCTGGAACAAATGGTTCCAGAAGGGGTTTGGATTTTGGTTAGTTTGTGATGTTTTCCTTTGGATTTTAACGCATTTTCCAACTCATGTTGGAAAACCGTATTATGGCCACTTTCTCAGTCCGTCCGTCCGAGGACGACTCCTACAGTTTTCAAGATATTTTTCTTTCTTTTGGTATTCGGTAGCTTATAGCTCCGACACTTCAACCAATTCAACCGATTAATCTGCGCAATGTCAACTTTCTTACTTATGGAAAACTTCGAATGCGAAGAAGAAAAACGTTTTCAGCCAGTACAAAGCGATGACGGATAAGGGCAACACGAATTCAAACACGTCACTGACATGCTGTGGATGTATTGGATCCGGCCATATTGCTCAAAACTGCCCTGATTGAAACATATCATGCTTTAAAGAAGACCGAAAAATTCTGGTTACTTCCGAAGGTATGCCAGAAAACCCGAAATTTGCCGACTTCGTTTTTATTTTTTTTTTCTGGCGTAATTTGAGCAGAATAGCATTTTTTATTACGAATACAACGATATACGGCACATAAAAAAAACAAGAGTTCGAAACTGTTTGTTTCAACAGAATGGTGCACCCGCGCACATCACCCTAATCGTGGAAGAATACCTGTTGGAGCGTTGTGAGCGGGTGAACCATCCTGTTGAAACCAACAGTTTGCAACTTTTGTTTTTTTTTTGTATGCCGTATATCGTTGCATTAGTAAAATGCTACTCCACGCAGTATGCACTTTTTTACTGGTCATATAACAGAATTGATTTGATGATGATTTCTCCGAAACGAAACGTTGTATCTTAACGCTATCTTGTAGAGCTCAAAAAGTGGCAATGAGAAAGGGTTTTTTATTTGTATCTATCCAAATAACATCACAATAAAAAACAAATCGGCAAATCTCGGTTTTTGTAGCATACCTTCGGAAGTAATCGGAATTTCCTGTTTTTTGTTTAAAGCATGATAATAACTCATTTTGCATCTTTTCCCTAATTTGACCATCGTCGTATCTTGTATGGTTTCGGAGATCCCCATGATAGACATCCTTATCTTGGACACAGTGTATATTATTGGAACAAAAATGTACTCGTAACTTATTAAATGAATAAAGGCAAAAATATGAATCTAGAGCACTGAATCTCCACATCCCACCCCATCGCCTATCTATTACCAGTAAATCGCCACTAGTGCGGAGTATAAAACGGCTTATACTGTTATAGAAATCCAGTTCACAAAAAAATAATGCAAATGCTTAGAAAAATGAGGGTATGGTTCTGTAGAGCTTTAATGTGTTTAATGTTCAATGCTGCTCTATCATTTTTATTATCTTTGTTTATATGTATTGTAGTGAATATTCTAGAAATTTCGATAGACATCGAGGCGCCATAAAATATTAATAATCGGCGTTAAGCGGTTGTGACCCCTTTGGTCCGGGAAATATGACGTGTTTGTTCGAGAACATTCTAGAATATTCGGGAGCGTTCGAGAAGAGTGTGGGTAAAATCCTGACCCGTACCCGGACTTAGTGGGTAAAACCCGGACCCGGATTCTGACTTGGTGGATTCTTTCTTTTATATTTTCGTGCATCGTAACATCAAAGGCATAATGACGGGCCTGGTATAATTTCAAGCATTACTATTTTCGGTTGGATTGAACCCTTTCTGTGCGTCAAATGCGTTTGGCCCATATTTTGAAAATGCACGAAGAAAGTACAAATTTGTTTCTTCTGTCATTATTCCTTGTTGTAGTGGCTGTATTAAGTTTTATTTTAGGCGAACGTTATACCCAGGGTTATACCGGAAGCGGGGTTTATTTTAGCTCATCCGTACACGATGTTTGTACGCGATTTAACTTTAGAAGGAATTATTACAGTACGAGGTTGAAATTGTCATAGTATGTTCCAGATCACAAAATAAAGCTTGGGATTGTTAACCATCCGTATCCCTCCACAAATTCAAAATAGCGCCAGGTATTTGGGTTGGTACATCTCGGTAGCCGTGTGACATAGTAAACATTTAAATAGGGGAATTTGTACCTAGATTACCTACGGCGCAACAATAATCGTCTATTAAAGAGTTTGCTTTGGAAGCTTTCCGGAAAACTATAAAAAATGAAAAATAAAGGAAACTGTCACAAAATGCATGCACATATCCTATTTCCTTTAAACCTTTAAAGCGATTTTTCTAAAAATTTTAATATGGATCCTTCAAATCTGATCTGCGCATGCGCACGTCCAACTTTCTTATTTGTAAAGGAATTCGTCTGAAGCGGCAAATAAAAAATTTTAATGACAGATGCTTCTAACAAAGACAAGCATATCTCATGTTGCTGCGCAATGTCAATTTCCTTACATGTAGAGATATGTATTTGAAATTTTAACCAATGCTTCTTCTACTACAGGAAACATATCGCATATTTTAAACATCAGGTGTGAGCTTGCGGAGGCTGCGCAATGTTAAGTTTCTTATTTATAAGAAAACATATTTTCCTGTACACATAAATAGTCCGTTATATGAGTTTTAGGCAAGTACTGATCATTTATGGAAAAGTAAAGGTAACTCCCCTTAAGGCGAAAACCTCTTTTTCATTTTTATTTTTATTAAAACATAGTATCTAGGTACCCTGCACCTAACCCTATTTAATAATATTAATTGATAGTTGCTTTACGTTTTAATCATACAGGGTGATCCACGTAGTCCGTTCGTTAGAAGTTTTTAAACTTGCAGTTGAAATAGAGACTTGAAATTTGGTTTACAGCACACAATATAAAATAATTTCAAGATGGCGCTCCTTCTATAAATACCGGAAGTAGTGCCATCTTTGTGTTTTTTAATAGAAACATACCATTTTCTATTTTTTTTCTATATGCGTTAGTTTATTCTGGAATTATCCTCCTCAGACACTCAGTTCTACAGATAGTTGCACGGAAGGTTTTGACATCACCAGTTTTTATACCTGGCACTGACGTTCCACTTTCCCTTTATGGGTACCTACCCTCTTTGAGAAGGGGTGCGATAGAAGAGCGTTAGGTAGTTGGTAGAAAACAGTTCCTTTTGGTACCACTAAAGGCATGCGTATGCACAATATAACACCAATTGATTGCTACATCACTACATGTAAAAGTTATGCACGTTTTACTTTTAAAAACAACATCTCGGGAAATAATGGGGGGGGGGGGGGTGAGAGACAGGGAAATTTGATGGCCTTCTGACCCACCTTCCTCAGGTATATGTTATTTATTGCAAAAAATTCCAGGACTTTAGGACAATTCGCCTAAAAGTAGATCAAAACCGCCCAAATGGGTCCGGACAGATTGACGGACGGCCAAAACACAAACAATAACAAATTTTTTTTATTCTTAAAAATGGGCTAAAAATAGAGAATGGCATGTGTTTCTATTTAAAAAGCCAAGATGCACCACTTCCGTTATTTAAAGCGGCGCCATCTTGAAATTATTGTACTTGTATTTCAATTCACAATGGTCGGTTATATGGGTGTAAATCAAATTTCAATTTCTATTCAATTGCAGGTTTAAAAACTTTTAACGAACAAACTACGTGACTGTCGCTGTGTATTAATTCGATGTTTTATTGGAAGGTTACTGAGATCGACTATATCATGTCCAAAGTTCAATAAACCAATACCTACTCTGTTTACGGGAACGTCTGTAATGTTCAAAAAAATTTATTGCTCCATATTTAAGGGGCTTTATAGAGACAAATATTTTACAGTAGGTAAGGAAGCTGGTTCTGCTCATGCGTGACACGCCCACATTGAATTTCCTTTTATTCAAAGGACTACTGTTACAATTTCACAAAAATCGCTATTTCTAATTGTATGAGGTCGCCTTTGTATTTTTACCGTTCCCGATCCACAAGAATTCCTGTAACTGTTGTCCCTATTGATGGTTTTTTCCTAAACCATAAAGAAGTCGCAGTCCAAATTTCGAACAAGCGGCCGCTGTTAAAAAGAGTATTGCTCACACGGGCGAATTGTCGGAAAATAATAAAACTATAAAGGATCACTACAAAAAAATCCATAAAAGTGATCCCTGACCGTGGCTTAGTTCGGGTCCGGGTCCGGTTTTTACCCATCAAGTCCAGGTCCGGGTCCGGGTTTTCCCCACACCCCGTTTGAGAACTTTTGAGAAAGACTGGCGTTTGCTATATAAGCCAATCGAATTGTGTTTGGAGTCAGTTCTAACATGGATTCGTAGTGAGGTATTGAGCTCCCCTCGGATTGTTATAATTTTTGAGTCTTAAATATTATTTAACTATTATAAATTAATCCATTTTAAGACTGTTATAAATGTATTGTTTGTTTCCGTTGTCTCGTTGTCTCTCAAAGAGTAGTCGGAACGTCTAGACGAGACTTATCTACTGGGGGTGTGAAAACCTTAGTGTGAACATCTCGAAAATGGAGTGTCGAGCGAGAGTGTACCTACAAAGGGAAAATGTAAGATTGCGGGGAATTTTTCTAAGGACTTGAATCTTCTTACATTAGGTATATAGCGTATAGTGTCCCTCTCCCCATTAGTCATCT